CCCCCCCCCCCCACCCCCCACAAACGTCTCAATCTTCGCCGCCATGAGCAGAGCCGCCGTCGGAATCGCTGCCGTAGTGTCGAGCTTCATCGCCAGAATGCGATCCTCTACTCTTGTTATGATCTAATGTAGAATCACTTCTATTTACATTATTCGATGAATCTCTGTTATTTTCATTTTCCGATGCGTTGCTGCTTCTAGCTGAAGAGCCTCCATCGCTCGATGAGGAGCTGTTCTTTCGGGAGTGATTTGGCGGTGGTTGTACGTCGTCTTTGAATCCGACTCGTTTCTGCTCAGATTCCTTGTTTTTCTTTTTCTTTTTAGGTTTCTGATTTCTTGGACTGATGTCTTCTTCTTCGTCATCTGAGATGTCAGTTTCGTGGTTTCTTGCACTTGTGAAGTTTCCAGATGCGCTGTCTTTTCCGATTTTTCGAGATTCGGTATCGGAATCTGAACAGTCTGAAGAGGAGTAGTCCTCCTCGTCGTCCTCCTCGTCCTCAGGCTCCGGCGGGTAAGGGAGCGGACGGAGGTTCTCATCCGGAGTTGTGGATAGGAAGCTGAGGGCAATCATGACGTCTGCGATCAGAGGACGGACTTCTGCTTCCTCTTGCAGACACATGGCAGCGACGGCGACGGCCTGATTCAGATCTTTCTCCGGGAACAACCGTCCTAGGAGAGGATCGGCCAGGTCTGGAAATCTCTTTGGATCTCGGAAAAATGGTTGTGCCTGTTACACATCCATTGGAGTTTTCAAATCTAGCTTACATTTTAAAAATGTTTTTGGACGGTAGACAATGAAATTAGCGGGAAACTTAATTTTTTTAGAAACAGAAAACGAAATGCTATTGAAAAGCATAACATACCCAAGCAACAAGATTCTGCTCGTTATTTGGTTTTGTAGTGTCGACAGCTTTTCTTCCAGTGATGAGTTCAAGCATCACAACTCCAAAGCTGTATATATCAGACTTGGCGGTGAGTTGACCACCTCTTGTATACTCAGGAGCAGAGTAGCCATAGGTGCCCATGACCCTTGACGGCAACGGAGACTTGTCGCCGCCGCCGCTGAGATTTGCGAGTCCAAAATCAGAAAGCTTTGGGCTGAAATCTTCATCGAGCAAGATGTTTGATGACTTCAAATCACGAAATATTATGGGAGGATCCGTCTGGTCATGCAGGTATTCCAATCCTTTTGCAACTCCTAATGCTATTTTTATACGAGCAAACCAATCCATTGGCTTTCTATCTTCTTTTATGTCTGCCAATATTGAATCATAGTTTGATGACATATATGAATATATTAGATTCTATTTCTCACACTATCTTAGAAGAAGAAGGCACATTAGGGATAGAAAATATACCAAAGAGACAATCTTCCAAAGAACCTCCAGGCATATATTCATACACCAAAATCCTTTGATCTCCATCTGCACAATATCCATTGAACTTCACAAGATTTGGATGCTTTAGAAGGCTCAATGCCTTAACCTCACCAAGGAAGTCCTTGTTCCCTTGCATACCATTTCTATCAAGCTGCTTCACAGCCATCACCTTCATTTTTATAGGGATTTTATTTATTGAGTTATGTTTAGATGGACTGTGTCGTAAACGAACCAATTTGGTTGGTTTAGTTGGTTACCTGGCCACTTGGTTGAAGGGTAGCCTTGAAGACCTTCCCAAACCCACCTTCACCCAAAAGACATTCCTGGCGGAAATTCTTTGTAGCCGTGGCTAGCTCCCGGAAAGTGAAGTTCTGGGCATCTATTTTTTCACCTTCTTGTGCTTGATCCTTCCCTTCCTCTGTGGGCTTTGTTTTGATTGCTTCTGGTGCTATAAATGACATGAAAACTTTAGTTCAAATAGAAATGGAAATATATGACATGAAATGACTGTTTTATCCCTTTTCTACGTTATTATTGGATAATAATGTTGGGAATTTTTACATTAGGAGAATCCCAAAATGTTGTTTCCATGGATATTTAAATTAATGTAAAAAAAATTCTCCCTATTGCTTTCTGGTTGAAGGGAAAAGAATGTGCATGGATTTAGGATGAGGAGTGGGGGTGAGAGAGAAGTAGCAGACCAGGGGACTTAGGGTGCGGCGGAGTACGGTGGCCGGAGGAGAAGGAGGCGGAATTGTCGTTGTTCTTATCGACCCCTTTCTTGCTCTTAGACGAAAAGCAGGGAAAGCAACTCATGGTGAGATTGTGGATGGATCAATAGTTGTGTGTAAGTAATGGATGGATGGATGGATGGGGGATCTGATGTGAAGAAGAAGAAGAAGAAGAAGAAGAAGAAGAAGAAGAAGTTCAGGGAAGCAGCAAAGTCATGGAAGAAGTGGTTGAGGAGGGAGGATCCTGGGTCCTCCAAGGGCTATTGAAGGACCCGGCCGGAGGAGAGGAAGGGGAGGAGGAGGTTGGGGAAGGGGAGACCCAACTGTGAAAGGGCGATGATAAAAGAAGAGGCAATGGGGGATTATGGAACTTGTTACCCTACAGAAAAAGAGAGACAAAAAAGTAAAAGGTTTAGGAGCTTTCTGGGGATGGAGAAATTTCTGGAGATTTTCATGGATTTCTCTTTGCCTCCCTTTTTTTCCTCTTTGGAAGGACAGAAAAACTCGGGGGGTTTTCATTTCTGTTTCTTTTCCATTTTTTGGTTCATTCAGGACACCCCCGAAACACTCTCTCTTCCAACCAGAAACACGGTTTTGTTAAGAGGCCTATTAAGCAACAACTTCGCTCTAATTCTTCCACCTAAAGGTTAAAGGTTCGATCCCGACTCTCTAATTTTGTTCAACTAAAAAACTAGATTTATTAAATCCCAAAATTTAAAGTTTTTTTTTTTTTTTTTTTTTTTT